TCAGCTAGTAGAGCCGGTCTTGAGCCTGGTGCTTGGAGAGGGGAAGAGGAAGAGGGAGAGGGAGAGGCAGAGGGAGAGGGAGAGGGGAAGGGAAGAGAGAGAGAGAGAGAGCACAAACCCCTGGGACTGTGAGCAGAGGCACCACTGGTGGCCGGCTCCATGCAGTCGGATAAGCTTCACAGTCGCATCGTCCTGGCAGCCCTCGTACCTTGGCTCCGCGCGCGGCGGGCATTCGGTGCCGTTTCAAAGTCGCCCGGTCTGTTGGAAGTTGGAACACATTGCCGCCACGCTGCGAAGCCACGGCGAAACCTCGCAAACATACCGTCCACTTTCGGACGCTCGAGAATACAAGCACGCTCCCTTCGCTGCCTTGATGCTCTCTGAAGCTTGGAGGCCACTCTGCAAGACCTGAGCAGGGAACAGCTGAAGGAGGATGAATGCGAAGAGCCTTTGGCTAAGCAGGTTTCTCGGACCGAAAGGGGCAAGCCTGGGCCGTCATTCTGAACATGCAGAAATTACATGGCGAAGCTGATAGCATATCATCACCAGAACTCGCGCAAGATGTTGGGGGCGCTTTTGCCATTGCTCACGAAGCATGTCAGCCCAGCTAGCTTGGTAAACGATGCATCGCTTTGAGGTGGGAAGAGGTGGAGCTTTCAAGAGTTGCGAGCTGACTCTTGCAGAAGCCCCCCTTTCTTAGTTTCATTTTCGGACAAGGTGCTGCAGCGATTGAACCTGGCCCATCTCTGCAGGGATGCAGGAACCGAGGACTGCCAATAGCCCAGGCCATGCCCTGCAGAGGGCAACTGCACGTGCGAGTATCCTCTGTACAAGACACCAACAGCTTCACGGATCGGTGCGAACGGACGGCAAGAGTGCAAGAGGCTCCCTCCGCTCTCTCGCTAAACATGGACCCTAGGTGATGATAGCTGCAAGAAGTTCTCTTCTGCCTCCCCAGGGATTGACTGGATCAGCATCCCCATGAAAGGCCTGAGGTTCTTCACATGCACAGACAGACCCGACAGACCAGGCAGACCAGGCAGACGGCCAACGGCCAGCCGGCCAAGCAGGCAGGTAGGCAAGCAGACAGACAGGGACAGACCGCACACGATCACTCGGGCAATCCTCTGCGCACTCGCGATTGACTCGGTCAGCCCAACGCTCAAGCTCTCCATTCATGAGTGACAGATCTGGAGGGCAGGAACGGTGTCATGCAACATCGACAGGAAGGGAAACAGGGGGAAAGACAGGAAGAGGGAGAGAGAGAGGGAGGGAGGCGTGGATGCAGGGATGGATGGATGGATGGATGGATGGATGGATGGATGGATGGATGGATGGATGGATGGATGGATGGATGAATAGATGGATGTATAGATGGATGGACGGATGGTCCACAGGCTCAAACACATACAAACAGATAGACAGATGGATAGGTAGATAGATAGATAGATAAATAGATAGGTAGATAGACAGACAGATAGATAGACAGATAATAGATAGATCGATCGACGGATCGGTCGATCGATAGTTCGACCGTTCGATAGTTCGATAGATACATAGATATCCAGATAGATAACAATACTTAACAAGACCGATAGACCGACAGATAGATAGACAGGTGGGTAGGTAGATAGATCGAAAGGGGAGGCGATCGCGTCACCGTGCACGCTCCACTGCTCCATGCCAACATTCACAGGGTCTTCAGACCCGTTGAACCTTTGACATACAACAGAACATGGTACATGAAGCTATCATGTCGCCAAACTTCCGCGGCCTACTTGGCGGCACCTTTCAGCCTAAACATCTCCAAAGATTTTGCCCCAGAGCGAGGACCCTTCAAACGACCCTTTTAGAAATCCCCGACTGTTCATCTCCCTCTCCGAATGGACCGCTGTACCAGATCGCATCCAGGCAACTAGAATGGGAATGGCTCTGCCTCGCATGTGTCACCAGAGAGGCCCAACAAAAGGGGCTTGGGGCCGACGGGGAAACGAAAAGTGGATCAGTTGCTGACAAGGCACTTGCATTGTTCGGGCTCGGGTACCGGAGTCCTGGCAACCAGGTAAGCATCGACCATTGTATGACCATGAATCACGCCCGTTCAAACGATGGAGAGATCCTGATATGGGCGCAACTGAAGCAATGAGACCCGGCCTCACATGTGCAAACAGGACAAGGGTGTAGTCTGCAGAGAGATGATGAGCAAAGCGCTGAGCCGAGTGCAGTTCGGATGCAAGCCGTATGCCTCACGAAATGTGGCGAGGCAATTCGCAATCTCGACCTGCTCGATGTCTTACAGTAAATTCCATTCTGACTGCTACGCCAGGAGACAGAAACGGGCTCCGTTGGAGTAGCCAGTACAGTGGATGCGCTGAACATCAATGCATGGCAGCCGCATGACCTTGCGCGACAAAGTCCACAAGAACCGCAACACAGGACAATCAAAAGGGCAAGTCGAGGCAGGTGGGATGAATAAAGTAGATACCAGTCTGCAGAAGCACAAGGGCCAGAAACACCAAAGCCATCGATATCTTTGCTTTACCCGCAGCGAAGCTCCCCCAAACATAGGCCTACGGGCGAGTCTTGGGCAACTGGCCTGTTCCAACACAGCTCGCGTCAACTCCACGTCGTGGACCCCCTGCCGTGAGGCATCATGCATGGATGTTCAGGGCGGCCTGGTAAAAAAATTGCACAGCATCCAAGGAACAGTTTATGTAATTGTTCAGAAGCCCTCGAAGATGATGCTTAACCCTAAACTGCACCAGCCACCCCCTGCTGCTTGTTACAAGGACGGCCCTAACAGCTAAGTCAGCAAAGTCCTAGTTGTCGTCCATGCCGCATGCATGCGTCGCCGCCTGTGGGTCGTGCCTAGCGGGTTGTGGGGGTCAGGGCTGACCTCAGGGCTGTCTCTCAGTTGAGCTTGCCACAATGGGCGGTGTCCCCGGTCGTGTAGTATAGGGCCAGGTCGAACTGCATTTTGGTGGTAGGCTCCGGCGCTGGCTCAGGTGTTGTTCTCCATTTTCCGATTGCATCGCTCACGTTGGTGTTTTCGCTAGTTGGCCTGGAGATCGTCATGTTCGTTCGCTACGCGTATTCCAAGTCCACAGTCCCCGTGCCCACACTGCCAAGTAGCGACTCACCAAAGACAAAACCGAGAAGTATAACACATCCTGAAACGAATTTGTGTGCTTACGCCTCCTGGTCTGCAGGAACTCGGTCTCATCGAACAACTTCAAATCACACAAGGCATCTTCGCGTGCTGTCCTTTTCTCTCATTGCTTTCCTCGCACTTCGGCTCGTCTTGGGATGACTCTACGGCTACTAGGGGCCTCGTGGCTTGGTCCTTAAGATTCTCTTCAACTACTAACAGGAACAGAAGCCCTTTCTGAGTAAGTCTGCAGAAGCATCTTTGCGAGCCTCGCTTCCAGACACTAGGCCGATGAGGCTTCAGACTCAGAATGCATCCCAATGCCCTGGACAGCTGGCCTGTCGATCCTCCCGCTGACTGTGCAAACCAACCTGGACAGAGGTTAGCTTGTTGCCCTGGTCCAGCAAAGCGTCCATGCAGACAAGCCACATTGAACTGCGACCTCAGGCATGTACGACAACGAACTCTCACCATGACGCACTGCCACCCATTTCTGCTGAGCTCTGTGCTGCCCATAGAAGTCGGAGTTCGGCAGCGCCTGTGCATGAAGGCGCCGCGGCGCAGAATCTTTCAGGTGACCACGAAACATCCACAAAGGCAGCGCAGATTGTGCAACTTATTCGGTCTGAGGAGGAGCCTGCGGAACCACGAGGGCGACATGATTTGTTCGGGAGAAGTCATCCAGGCCTGGCACACCGGCGATGGAAAAACATCTCACATCTCTCGCACACCGACAACAATTGGACCGCCCTGGATAACTCTACAAGAGCGACACGACTCGTAGAGTTTGCCCTCGACTTGGCACAAACGCTTCGTGTGGAAAGCTGCACAGGCCTGAGTAACGCAGAAAGTCCTTAGCGCAAAGAGAGAGAGAGAGAGCAAGCGAAGGGTCCTGTCCTAAATCCGGCTATAGCGCATCTGCGAGTCGGGAATCGCTCCCAGCAACTTACGGTTGCGGGCAAAGGGTCCGTAGCCTGGCCGTCGGTCCCATGAAAGACCAGCCATAGTGGGAGCTTCCCGGCAAACACGGCCGAAGGAAGGGATAACAGCGCACCTGACACACCCAGTCGCATGTCAGAACCACACCAAGCTTCAAACCAGGTCAGGGTCGAGCTGCTTCGAGTGGTCCCACCAACCTCCACCTCCACCTTGGTTTCCTCAAGACCCATCTGGCAGTTCTCCCCGCTGACCTGGCGAAGGCGAGCTCGTGGCCCGAGCAACATACGCAACAAGCACAGGTTCCCTGCTCCAAAACGCTGAGGGACCACAAGGTTTGCGAATGACGCCACCTGCGAGGATGGCTTCGCCGCAGGCTTCACCTTGGCTGAGACAGGCTAAGCCTTTCTGTCCTTCCTCTTGATGCAACGGCCTGCCGAGCGAATCACTGTTTTGGGCGTAGTTGCTCCGGCCCCGATCGATGATGCCACTTTAGTCGTTGACAACGTCGTAGTTGAAAATGTCGTAGTTGAAAACGTGGTTGACAATGTCGTCGTAGATAAAGTTGTTGATAACGTCGTCGTCGATATCGTAGATGTGGTTGCTGTCTCAGTGATGCTACGTGTCATGGTTGTGGTCGTTCGCGAACGGGTGTCTGACGTTGATGTTGCGGTAACTGAGCGGGTGGCTGATGTCGATGTTACGGTCACTGAACCGGTGTACGTTGTCGACGTTGCGGTCACTGAGCGAGTTTCCGATGTCGACGTTACGGTCACTGAGCGGGTCTTTGATGTTGATGTGGCAGTAGTTGAGCGGGTGTGTGATGTCGACGTCGCGGTCATCTGCGCTGTCTGCTATGACTATGTGGCAGCAACTCACATATTAAGATTCTAGTCACCAGTTGTCCGAGTGTCAGAACCGAAAGAGGACACGTTTGCACTTGCGTCAGCTTTGCACAGCAGGGAAAGCCTCCCTCCAAAGCGAAGCACTACCGCCACTGCGAACAAGTCACGGTCGTGGTCAGCGTCGTCACCTAAACCCACTGTGGGCTCAGATGGTGATGCTCAGAGGGTGCGTGGGTCAAGGTTCAAGCTTGCTTCCTAAGCACGGTGGTCGTGGTGATGCTTGTGCTCGTCGCGGTGCGCGTTGCCGTCACCTGAGCCGTCAATCCAATGCAAACCGTGCTGCACCCCGCACTGGGGATGGGGAGATCTCTGCAGTCTCAGCACCGTAGTTCTGGTGGCCGTAGTCGTCTCTGTGACTGAAGAAACCTCAAAAGTAAGGATCAGGAAGTTAGGTGGGCAAGCTTCATTGACATGTACTCCGATGCCTTGCTTACAACTGAGTTTCACAAGCCAAGTCATCGACAAAAGTGTGTTTCTGCAGCTGTGGGGCTGTAACTGTGGTTGTCGTCACTGTCGTAGTCGTAACAGTCGTAACGGAAGTGGAGGTGATGGTTGTGATTGTGGTGCTTGTGAGTGTAGTCGGCGTCGTTGTCGGCGGCAAAGTCGAAGTGATGGTGAGGGTCGTCACCGTGGTGTCAGGCATGTAATGCAGAAAGGTTTCCTGTCACACTTGCACACATGAGGGACATGCCAACTCAAATAGAAGTGACTTCTTGCAGTTGTGCACCTCTTCAGTCGTTGTAGCTGGTGCCCTTGTTGTGGCCGGTGCCTGCGTTGTGGCTGGTGCCCATGTTGTAGCTGGTGCCGATGTTGCGGGTGTGGTTTCCTGCAGCAAGCAACATTTCCGGTCAGAAAAGGCTCTACAAACAGAACTACAATGTACCTCCTTCTAAGCTCACAATTTCAAGACGGATTGTCTTCGTCTTCCCACGGCCGTTTAGAGAGCTACGCAGATATACCGATCACAGACCACTGGCATCCAACACGGGCAGTGTGACATCTCTTGACTGCTTAACGTGCCTCGCGTTCTCGGCTTGGCCACTGGACCTCACAGAAGCGGCTATGTGCTTGCATCGAACTGCATCTCTTTCAAAGTGAAGATACTGCCCGTTCATGGAAAGCAGCGGTGGTTTCCAGAGCACTTGCTCTCGCACTGTGGCAGCTGTCGTAGTCCGAACAACCTCACGCCATGCTCATTGCACAACCATCTGGCGCTGCTGCAACAATGGGCCCGGCCGACTTGGGAGCGACTAAGCTTTGCACAATCACCCATCTGCCGGCACCAGCCTCAGCAAAGGCGACAGATCTGCTTCAGAAGCGAAAGGCGAGCCGACGCAGTGACGCCGTTGCTTTTAGCCAGGCTGCTGATGCATTGGCAGTCGGCACCAGGCCTCAAGTCGGCGGCTACGAGTCGTATTGAAAAGCCTGCGGCTTGCTTTCGCTTCGCGCCCACCGCAGAGCTTGCGCACACTTCGTTCCACGAACGTCCAGAGCAAGTTCCGCACCTACGCGAACCCGCAACTCGGCCTGAACATGCTACTTCGGTGATTGAAGTGCACCAAGAGTCTGGAGTACGTCGCAGCGCCCTGTGCAGCTGTCGGAAAGTCCAGCAGTCACACCGCGAAACACCTCAGGAAGTGATGGCTAACGTCAACCATCATCAAGTTCGAACAGGTGCTTCCAGGAAGAGCAGCTAGCTGATGGGGTCGCGGGCTCAACATGCAACAGCGGGCACATTCAGGCACAGCAAGACAACCAGCAGCTCGCACCAGGGCCGGATGTCCACCTGGACATGGGATCGGGTACACACGTGGATCCTTGCGGTCCTCTGAGACAGAGGCCTACCCTTGAAGGAAGAGCGTGGCAGCCGAGGCACTGCCCTCATGCACTCATGTGGAGGAGACGATGGGCTGCTGGAGGCATTGGGCCGTTTGCATCCTCATTTCCTGAGATGAAGCCGAATCGACTCGCCCCCGCTTGAAGAAGATCCGAACTGCTCTACATCATTGACAAGTCCGTAGCACTCCCATGATCGCGTGCGGGATTCGAAGCCTAGGAGCTGGACCCCAAGCCCTGCGTTTCTGCACTCTGCGGCATGGAAACGGCAGCGGAGAGGCAAGCCGTTTGATCAGGGCCAAATTTTCGCCGCGGCATATACACCAAAGTGTTGCAGATGTGCGTTTCACTCTGGAGCATGACTGTTTAAAGAACACATCAGCGGTCATGCATTGTGCACACACTGCAGGGTGGCATTTAGCTTCGTTGCAGTTTCTCTTGGCCAGACTTGGGCTTCCACTCGGCGATTCGATCGTCAAGGACCTGACTTCTAGCTCTGCGGATTTGAAAGGTGCCCGTGGGGCCATGTCTGCTGCGTCTGCCCTCTACGTCCCCGTGACCTGCTCGTGCTGCTGGCCCAAGTGAGCACATGGCACTTGGCGCATGGCTTCAATCCGCTCCTCACGCTGTGAACCTCCTACGAGCTCTCCAATTCCTCGAATCCAGGAAAGTGGGTGCTTGCACCATGGAAGTCCATGATTTGCGGCATCCTGGGCACAGAAGGTCCATGGCAGCCACCGTCTTGCCATCCTCATTGAGTCTCATGTAGAAAGCCTTGCAGTCCTCGGAGAGTAGAAGGGATGGAGACTCGAGTCGTGTAACCTCGGCTCTGGGTGTTCCTTGGGATAGTTGTAGACGATGCAGGGACCTTTGCACACCTCATCGGTGAGGAACTTCCTGAGTGTGGCCAGTGCCGGGGGTTTCTTGTGCCATTTTGTTGCGACACACAGCGAATCCGTCTGGTAGGCTTGGAGCTCGTGTTCCGTTTGAAGCTCCTTGCCCCATTCGACTTCAAACTCGAACTTCACGTCCCCGGCTTTGATGTGCTTTTGCAAGACCTGCCCAGGCAACTTCTAGGAATCTTTACAAATTTACAAAGCCTGCAAATCTGCAATGACCGTGAAATACTGAAGCCCCAACGCAGAGAAACGCGCACGCATGAAAGCACCGACGAGCATGCAGACGGACAGACAGCAAGGCAGCAAGACAGTCTGACGGTCTCACGATCGGATGGCACAGCAGTCAGTCAGGCAGTTTTTTGGTCAGAGTCCGCAACCGTCGGAACAGAACCCAGCCGCCCGGCTGCCTCCACTGCCTCCGTGTAGCTCATGCGGGCAAAGGGCTTGGAAGCAATCAGCTCCAGCCTCTCCTGGCGACTAAGGATGTCTTTTCAGGCCGCGCTACCTGTCAACATGCACAGTCTCCAGCCACCACGAAATGAAGGGTCATTGGCAACAACTATGAGGAGGTTGCATGTCGGGGTGGAAGCTTACTGCCATTTCCGCTCCCATGAGAGAAGGGACCCGTACTCTGCTCTGCACCCCTGCCTGGATCTCCTTGTCCTTAATAAACTCAAGGCGAAAAGGGGAAGTTACAGAGGCTATGGCAAGAGACAGAGAATGAGGCACGGCACCTGTCTCTGTGCAGCCGAGACTCTACCCGCAGGTTGAAAAAGTCGACATCAGACTTGCAAGACTCCAGGACATTGGACACACAGAACCTTGTGAAGAGAAGCTGCGAGGGATGTGTACTGAGAGGAGCGCGCCAAACGGCCTGATGAAAGCTTCCGCGCAGTCCATGTCGTCCTCCAAGTTGGCGAAGGCCATCTCTGGCTCGATCCTCGAGCACTAACAGATGCCGTGTGGATTTGTCAGGGCTGAAAGTGGGCGCATGGCATCCAGAACTCGGCCAGATGCCTAGTAGTGCCTCGAGTGCACGATTTTTGCCGCTCACACTCGGATACAAAGCGCGCATTGCTGTGGCGTGGCTTGAGAATCATGGCGCACACACATCTGGGGAGCTTTCTGGAATTCTCAGCGCGGAAAGTAGGGCCAAAGGTGTAAACCTTGAGCGAGAAAATCATCACTCTTGCCCACGTTGCTTACTGGCCGTTGCAGTTTGAGGCAGCTGCATCACCCAGCCCGCAGCAGAAGTTTTCCACTGCCAACTGCCCGCTGACCTTAGCCGCTCTCTTCCACTTGTGCCTATTGACTATTGGCTATGCGCCGGCAACAGGCTGCCCAAGCCCTTCACCGTAAGATATGCTGCCCGACCAAAGAACTCCGCCCCGTCCGTTGCCGCCTTGCTTTCAACCGCCTCCTCTCCCTGGGCTCGTACTCTGTTCTGCCACTGGCTGTCGAAATTGGACACTTGTGGCAAACTGCCTTCTCAGCACTGATGCGGAACATCTCACCAGCTCCCTCGCAATCTGCCGTGGTGATAATGGGGGTGTGCCTGATGTCTCCGCGCACCGCAACGCATTTAAGAAATGAAGTAGAGCTTGACCCCTGTAAGGCCATGACACATACAAGAACCCTCGGTCTTGGAAGAAGCGGTGTGTACCTGCGCAACCAGCAGCGACCGCATCTGCCCGAGATGCAGAGGTAGTCCAGCCAGGTGCTTCCATCGCAGGTTGTGCCGCGGTCAGCGATAGGGTCACTCATTGCTAAATTGTTCCGAACGCGGCTGACTGCACCAATGAGGTTTGACCTGCCATCAAAGATGCTTTGACAGCGATGGTGACTGGCATACACAATCCTGACCGGCGGCCCAGCTGAGGTGACCCTTTTCTGTGCAATGCGCGCTGCTTTGCCGTGACTCTTGCTCCAGTCATCACCGCGGCAGCAACCGTTGCCACAACTTAGGTGCCCGATGGAAAGAAGCCATGCCCCTGCTCTGGTCCTTCCCGTGTTGCGGGCAGGGTACGCTGGAGAACATGTCCTCGTTCGCGTGCTGCGGTGGTCTCTCGTGCTGATGCACAGTTCCCTCAGAGGCTGGCTGCCTCAAGGATTTCCGCCAGTGAAAGCACAGGCTGATCCGCACATTGCCGATGCATGGACATCAAATGCTTCGGCCGAAGCTCGCAACACTCGCCACTTCGACTACGTAAATCATCACCTCCTCCACACCGGCACGGTTCATGCCTCAGCAGGTCTAGCTGAGACAGGAACGACGCATGGGCAACCCGAAAATTCCGATGGAAGCGAAGTGACTGGGCGGGATGATGAGCTCCCGTCGCCCTCCTGCAGGAGGTCAACGCAGACAGTTGTCCGACATGTTCTTCAGACTGTCTTGGAACGGGCACAAGAACACCATCCTGAGCGCATGCCCAGCACCCCTTCGCCGAGTGCTGGAAATTCGGGTGAGTTCCCGGCCTGCATCCGGGCGATGCCGGCGGAAGGCAGGTTTATTTATGTCACGTCCTTTATGTCCTTCTGACAATAAGGCCTCAACGCATAGTGGACTCGGCCCGGCATTATAGGAAGACTCGATCACCTTGCCGTTGAGCCACTTTCCTCAAATCACACTCTCTCCACATGTCCGCGCCCCAGAGCTTCCAGGGAATCTCCTATGCGGAAAGAAGTCGCCTTCGAAGTGGATGCAAACGAGCCAGCCCTTCCTTAGAGCTCCGAGCAGGGGCCGAAGGGCCGAAAGGTTGGCCCCTGGGCTGCCGTGGGCTGCCGTGGGCTGCCGGGATGCTCGGCGACCTCTTCCCCGGATCCGATCTTCAGGTCGCAGCATCTCATGCCTCCCGGCACCTCGAGCTGGACTCGCGTAGCACGTCAAGGCGCTTGAAATCGCCAGATATGCAGCAGAATCAAGAGAGCAAGCTTGCAAGTAAGCACCTGAAAGTAAGTCGTCGATGCTGCCTTCTTCGATTCCAGGTATTTCTCCTGAGCTCAACTCACTCGCACGGTAGCTTATCTCAGCGACGGATCCCGACATCGCGGTAGCTGAGTAAGTAAAGGTTTTCGAATGATGGCTGTTTTTGAATTCCGTTAACATTCAAGCTAAATTTCTCGCAGGCTTCTGCATCCAGTGCGCCAACAAGACCCTGTTTGGATCATGCCTACAGCTAGTAAACTTGCCGTGTGTGTCAAGCCCCACACCCTGCGTGAACACTGTCCGTCCAACGACATCTTGCACCGCCGAGCCGAACCAGCGACAGTAGCCAAGGTTGAACACAACACTGCGCCTTTCGATTGAAAACAGGTGTGATACAGACGAGAAGTGAATATGTCTCTGCTTGCAAACACCATTTAAATAAATGCGCAGCCTATGCAGCCTAAATCAATAGTCCTTCCTATTCCTCTTGTGGGTATCATCTTCTGAGCGTTTGGGCCTAACCTTGACTCTTCAGCATTTTGCTCCATTCGTGATGCCTTGGTCTACCTTTTAGGAACGGCGTCCATTTTTGGGCCCGTCTTGCTGCAGTACCCGAAGCCTGCGAAGGTGACTAGTGGCAATGATTCGGCGGATCAACAGCCTGCCAAGTGTCCTTTGACACCAGCTCAAAGCGCCTGTCGCTCGCTTCGCACCGGGTATACCGGGCGGTCCCAGAAACCCAATGACGCCGCAGCTGGTCCGCCTGAGAACCACCACGCACACACACACACACACTTGATTTCTGGATCTGTAGAGGTCGCAAGAGTGTCGCAAAAGCGCAGCATTCCACTGAGGCACAAGGACCCCTGTGGCTAGGCCAGCGAGGGCAGCCCGCGCCATGGCCCAGGAGCAAAACACGCATGAGCAAGAGCCTAGGGCCCTACACGTAGCAACGGAGCTCTAAGCTCGCCTTCGGATACAGCAGGTGCAACAGCTGACACAGCTTGCCACCGAGGCTTCGTGGCGTGGAAGGATGGGGTTCTGCGAGGATCGTCGGGTGTGTTTAGAGTCCTTCATGGCGATGCGGACACAACGGGAGTCGCAAGGCTGGAGAGCAAGGAGGACTGGATAACAAGATCACAAGCAGTGCAGCACAGAGTCTCACAGGGCCTAGGCCGCAGGTGTGCAATTTCTCGGAGAAACTCAATGCTATGCTTCCTGGGCAGCACAATAACACGAAGGGCTCTGATTGCAAGATTGAGGCAATGGCTTTTTGGCCAGCGGATAGGCCTGCAAAGTGACTTGTTTCTTAGTGAAGCGTCCGAGTTTGGATTTGGGGCCTTGGAGTCCACGGCTCCCAGGACTTCGATCTGGGCTCCAAGGGAATCTAAGAGTCAGCTGAAGCAAATCCTCCGGCATGAGTTCCTGACACTGTGCTCAGCCTTAGAGAGTCGAAGACGGCTGGCATGGCGATAAAAGGCGACGCCACATTGCATCAAGCGCCTAGCTGTGCTGCAGGAGATTTCGACCTCCTGGCCTTTGGCAGGCGACTCGACAACCTCGTTCAGAAGCCGCGCCCGAATAAAGCGACGAAGCTTTCCAACCGCAGAATCGTCGGCCTCGCCCTCCACTCGCACGGAGGCCCCGGTGCCCTGGTTGCACACCTGTCCGCACATTCCGCACATTCCGAACGGATACGGAGAAAAGGCATTCAATAGCATCGGAGGTACAACAAACAGCATAACATGTGACACTGTGACACACCGACTCGGTCAGGAACTTGCAGGATATCGCCCTGCCTCCTCGAAGCCCTTGGCCTCTGCAAGTGCCTCAAACTGTTTCAGCAAGGCAAGGAGCATTTCGCTGCTCTTGCGAGACGACAGGGCAGAAACTGCAAAAGCAGCTCGTGTTGACTTGTGTTCCGCTGGTTCATAAGTTTCTTTCTCCGCTGTGAAACTTCGCCTCGTACCAGGACTGGTTGGAAAATGAAGGCCACGGTGATCCCGTGAAGCTAAAGAACTTGGCCAAAGGGTCAGAAATGATGGTATGCGTGCAGATTCATCTCTGGCGAATGGGGACGTGCTGCATGAACAAGACCTGGCACACGGCCCCCAAGCAGAAAGCAGCCTGACCTCAGCGAGCATGCTACTAGCATCAATGAGTCATAGAGCCTGCTTGCCTCACGCAAGTAAGCCTCCAACGCAACAGTGCAAAACGGCACTGTCATTGGAGGCAACTTGGCACTTCCGAGTGCTTCCTTGAAGCCAATCGTAGCCAGGGTGGATGCCATTGCACCTCACCGGCGCCCACGCACACACGAGCATACGCTCACACTGTGTCCACCCGTGGAATTTCTTGGCTTGAAGGACTGGCCTGCATTCTTGCTTGAGTCCTTTCCCACCCCTGCCTCCGCAGGCAAGCATGCCAAAAGGGACGCCCAGCGGCACAAAAAAGATCCTTGGATCCGACAAGAACAGGATTACAATTCACAAGCAGACAACTCAAATCTGACCTGCGACCTGCAGAACCCACGGGCATGCCTATAACTCCGAAATCTCGGGGGGATGGCCGCCAGATGCTCTCACAGCGTGCGCTTTCCCGCATGTTTCGTCCGACTGCCAGGATGCCATGCAGCGTAACGGAAGTGAGGCTCGTGACTTGAGCTGTCGAACCATGTTGACATTGACATATTGAAAGCCTGTCTTACTTCAGGGCAGCCTGCGCAGCCTGCAGCTCCGTGCCCGGAGCCCAGAACCCGGAGAGGCTGGAGACAGGACACTTCGTGCTTTGTGCAATATCTGAAGATATCTGGAGAATCATGAAGCTTCGCTCATTTTCTGTGGCGTGGTCACGTGTGGATGCAGTTCCGCCCCCACGAATGCAACCAGAATCACGTGCGGCGGGCTGTGGTTCCTTGCCACCCTGTAGAGCAGTGCCACATTTACCAAGGTAGGGATGTACGGAATGTAGCGTTTAGAGTCTCGCAATTCGGGCAATGCAGGCGAGGATGTACGGTTTAAGGCTAAGGGTTTTTCAACGTAGGCCTTTGGACAACCCTAACAAAACCCTGAAACATCCATAGCATTGAGCTTCTGAGCCCCTGTAGATACATACC